GCTTTGGGGACTGAATGGCATGAAAATCTCCACTCTCTTCCCCTCCCTTCCCATTCCAGGCTTTCCCCTTGCCCTCCCTGCCCCTGGATAACACCCCCCCACCACCACTCAGCCTCATAGCTCACCTGCATCTCTTGTTTTCTCCGGCTTAATTGTGGCCACTCAGACCAAGGAGTGGTAGCAACATCAGCAGTGACCAAGCAGGCAGGTTCCCCTTCCCTGCCTGCTCCCCTGAGAGCCAGCAGGCAAAAGGGAGCTGAAAAGGGCAGGATGGTGCGGGGGTGGAGGGGGGGGTGGAGTGGAGAGCTGGGAGTCTGATGGGGTGCGGGCGGCAGTGAGCCGATTCAGGCTGGCAGGGGCTGGTGGTGAGGGGCAGTGGGCCTGATCTGGGCTGGTGAGGAAGTGGGGGTTGTGAGGCCCAACTGGGTGGGGCAGGTGGAGAGTGGGCCCAATCTGGGTCAGCATGCAGGGGGTATATACACTAACATGTAGCCTAAAGCAACCCCACATTAGTGTAACATGAGTTGGGTAACACAGAACAGAGAGAAACTTTCTCTGGAGTAGTATAACTGCCTAAAGGATGCTTACAACTAGTTTCACATATTGTGTGGACAGTCAAGTGGTTAAGAGCTTCAGGGGCCACCTAACGTTAACAAGTAACAAAGCCCTAACTTTGAGAGACCGGGGAGAGAGACAGAGAGAGAGTTGTCATATGTTCCTTCTTGAATAGTTATGAATTCAGAATATTTATCTATTTATATAAGTTTTGCTGTATCTCAGTAATACACTCTTGTACACATAGTTCTCTATGGCCTTATACATTTGCATCTAAGCAAAGTTGGTATAAAATGCCAAATGCCACCATTCTGATTTGGTAATATTTTTCTATTCCCATGAATAGAAGGAACAACTGTGCAGGCAGTGAATAATCTGGGTAATGAACATGAATGACCAAACCTATAAATAAAAAAAGAAATTACTCTTCCTTTCCAAAGGAAAGCCTGCTACGTGTAAGGCTTTTACATTTCTGCTTTTAATGATTTGGGCAGTATTTGTCCTTTTAGGTACTTGGATGCTACAGTGACAAATGGAAAGCACAACAGGTTTACATGGGATCTAGGTATATTGTTGGGAGTGAACTTGTTTCAGATTCCACAGTTCTAAGATTTTTTCGAGGGAAATGTTGTGGAGCCCTGAAAAATGCTGGGGTGACTCATTCTGTTTTGAGATCGTATGAAATAACTGTTGAAAGTAGGTCACTGTTTGGGTGGGTAGAAGTCAGAGAATTATGACCAGAGTGCAATGTGGGTTTTTCTAACATTTTTAAGTAAATATAGGAGCTGCCAGAATACTTCTCAGATGAAAATTTAAACTTTAGACTTAAGAAAAGAAAAATCTAGGATTTTAAGAATAGTTCAGTGAAACACTTTCTTGAAGTGTAAACTTCCTCCACGTGGTAATAACAACACACATGTTCTAGTAGAAATAACCAGAAATTAAAATAACTGTTATTGCAATAAAGCAAACCAGTTCAGAATTACTGTTTTATAATTTTCAAGAAGCTAAACAAATGACACCAATTAAAAAGGTAGAAAGTTAACTGTGTAACAGAAATAATACTGGAAGGGGTCTGTTTGTTTTAAATTCTGAATTTACTTGTTTAGCTAACATAAAACAAGTGCTGCTCATGTCAATTTAGGTACTTCTCCTAAAGGAGACTCAGCAACTTATAGGACTAACTCCCTTTTATTAAAACAAAACTAAAATTGGGGGGAAGGGGAAACCCATGCTAAAAAATCAGGCACCATGGTAAGTCTTCAAGCCTAAATGGCTGGCCAGAAGTTTATTTAATACATATTCGTTTACAAATTCTTCTGTGCTTCAGATAATATAAGAATTAGCTTAAATTCAATAACAAGTTTGTTGGATGAACATGAGCAGCTGACCTCATCTTTCAGCTTTCCTTTGTTCTTTGACTTCAGTTACAAGTGGCTTTTTTCTACATAATGCTTGTAATTAAAAAAACCCAAAAAACAAATTAACAACCCCCCTCCCCTCCCATGGTTAATTATAAGTGACACAAGCAAAGGCAGGTCTCTCTCTTGCGAACAATTTATATCATTATTCCAAGACTTCATGATATTCCTTTTGTTGCAGGGTGTGTAATCGTTTCTTAACGAATATAGAAAGATGGCAGAGGATGCATGTACAAAGGTAACTCTTGGCTTCTGTCTGAACCTAGGGACCCCATTGGGTTAGTGTAATTAAGGCATTTCAGCTTTTCTTGACAAACAACACACAAGAAGCCAAGTGGCTAGCAGTTGCATCCAGTTGATTTCCAGCCCAAATAACCAAGCCGACTTTTACAGTTTGGTTGACTGGAGGCAGTACTTAGCAAGGCTTGAACCTTTTCTCTGGAACCATGCAAGGTACCTCAACATTATGCTATTCCACTCTCAAGAATTATATATGCAACCAACCAAGATAATAGATGTGTGCATAATGGCTGATGTGCTGGAAGAGTTTGAGCAGCACATTCTGGACTGTGTTACTTTTAAATCTTTTTGATGCTTAAGTGTTGACATTGAGCTAGAGATTAAACATATAAGTTATCTACATAAGTTATGTAAAACCACTGTTGGGAAAAAGTATTTCAAACTTTCTTTTATCTTGAAACAACACTTGAACCTCTGCACGGACTGAAAAAGATATTTAGTCACCTATCTGCAGCCTTGGGCTTATAAATAGGGTTTAATCAACTCACCTACATGAATTAAATTCCTTGGTACTTTTCTAAAATCCTTCTAGATAGCCAGCAGGGTCTGTAAGCATGATAACATTTTTTAAAAAAGGGGGGTGGAGGTGGAAGAAAAGGGGAGGAGAAAAGCCAGAAAAAAATGAACTAACATTAGCCAGTGCAAGCTGTTCTGTTCTGAACATTTTACTTGGGTAGTACAAACTCTGTTCTCTGCTGTCATTTTTGTTACAAACTTCAGTGGAAACAGAATTGTGCCCAAGTAACTCTTGCCATTTATCAGGAGGTATTTGGTATTTTCTGGACTAGGCAGTTTAAATACCTGTGCAAATAAACATTACTGTACTTAAAAGAAAAGTTAACTTAATTTTCTTGAATGGATTCACTGTCTCTGGAATGAATTGACTAGATTAGCCATATGGTTGACTTTCCAGATGATCCTAATGAGCATCAGTCAATCAGGAAATGAAGAATTTCACGCAAAATTACTAAACCTGCTCTGCACATTACTGAAATGACATCAGTCTCCATTGCTGAGGTAGGCTTTTGGTCTCACAGGGAATTAGTGTTAGAATAAATTAAATCAGTTTTTTTGAGGGGGCGTGGGGGAGGAGGAGAAAGGAGTACACTTTTTCAATTAATAGGATTATCTGAAATGGAAAGAGACGATATTCTATGAACTGATTAAATTACTGGCTACAAAAAGAGAATACAGACTGTTATGGGAATGTAACATTTTACATTTCTAGTTAATTTAGTTGCAGATTTCTGCTATATCATATGAAAAACACTTGTATATACATAATGAGTGCTAGAGAAACCATCTGTATTTCAATTTCCCATTTTCCTGAAAGTGATTACAGTTAGGGTCCTGCTTTCCTACTTTTGAAACAAAAATATTAGGAATATACAAAATCTGTAATCTAGTTCATCTCATGACAGAAAAAGACAATAGATTAACAAGAATCTTGTTGCTTTTATTTATATATAAGGTCATATTGTATCTCATCTGGTTCTTTGAATTAGGAAAATTATTCTTTTAAGGATGGGATTGCATTTCTTAGTTACTTCATGCATTATGGCATGACAACTGTAGCCTGCAGCATGGGGTAGCAGAGTACAAAAAGGAAAATTGGAACTGGTATTAGACCTTGATTATGCTGCTGCTAGACTGCTGGGTGATCCTGGGCACTTCTCCCTGTTCTTCAGTTTCCACATCTGTAAAATACAGCCAATGATATTGACTCCTTTTGACATATAGGCTAGGTAGAGACATTCAGAAAGTCTGAGGCAGAATTGATCCAAGTTATGCAATTTTCTGTAAGCAGCATAGTTTAGATCTGTAGCAAACAGAACATTCACCTTTTGGTGAGGGAGGCAAATCATTGGCTAGATTCTGCCATTTTTAAACAAGTCTGTGTGCCAAACATCTGCTCTGTTTTAGGTATAGACCCGTTTCTGATCATTTATACCAGTAAAACATTAACGTTTGCATTTGGCCCGATGTTTAGCACTATATAAAATACAATATTTTATTTATTTATTTATCCAGAGGTGATACCCTCAGACTGTAGAACTCACAGGCAATTGGTCTGTACCTGTGGCTGGTCTGGTAAAGATACCAGGGCTAGCTTGAGACCTATCTTAGCATAGACTGGCTGTGAGTTCTGCAGTCTGTTCTGTGTTCTCTGCTTCGGTGCCTAGGCTGCTACTAGTACCTGAGGTAGCTAATTTAAACCTGGCTGCAGCAAATCTATGTTACATTACAGTCAAGGGAGTGACTGTAATACATGTATGGTTTCAGTAAAGTACAAAATATGATTTTGTGTAGCAAACAACTTGCCAAAGGTTGCAGAGCCAACTGATGAAAGTAGTAGGCCCGGGACCCACGTGTGCTGACTCTCAGGCTTGTCTACATTGCAGTCAAAGGGGTTTAGAAAGACAACAAACAGGTTACAAAAGTTTGCAAAGTAAATCAGTGAAAGAAGCAGACTGATACCTGGGTATACTGACTCCCAGTTCTCTGTTTTACCCTAAGTCTTCAAAAATTGTGAGACTTTAAAACTTGAGGATTTCATGGCTGTAGAGGAGGAAAAGGACTTAACGCTAGCTACAATTCTTATGGGTCTGCCTACTTCCCAGATCTATGAAATTAAGAAAAATACTGAATAGCATAGGTTTTAACGATATTCATAGAGCTTAATGCTTACTTACACTTACTTCAAGGCTCCTTTGCAATAGCAAGAATGAAGTAAAGAATCCTTGGTGTAAATTAGTTTTGCAGAATGGCCTGGCCCCTACCACTCAGTAATACAGATTGCAAAATCCTTTCACAGATCTCGGAGGCCTTGTTAAAAGATGAATATGCATAAACATTTGGAAGATCCATTGGGAGCTCCTGTTCACTTGAAACATTAACCCAGAGTTTCCTCATGAAGAAGATGTATTTCAAGATGAGAGAGAGCAATCAATCAAACTTTCAAGATGGGAAGCCCCCTCAATCCAAATCTGGCAGAAAATAAAAACATACCAAGCCTCCATCTAAACATGTAAATACATATATATTAAGGTTAGACATGTCAGTAGCAATTTTAATTGGTATAAATGACACTTGCATCATAATCTTATAAAATATTTCAAATATAGCAATTCTCCTCCTGTCCCAGATTATAGCTTGCAAAGAAAAATTCTGTGTTTTTCTTTTGATGTAACTGTGCTGAGAAAGTCATAGCCGCAATAAATCATCCCGTCATTCTAATCATGCTGGTATTATTTTGATGCCTTTTGTGAAACAGTATTTCTTTTCCTTGAAAAAGGAAAAGTCTCCAAGCTTTTTTCTTGCAAGATATTGGTGGATACTTGTTAAGGAAGGACAATTTTTTAAGGCAATTTGGAAATCTTATTTTGTACCATGCACTTTCTACACCAGATTCTATTCCACCTATTAAGTTTCTAAGTATCCTGTCCACAATTCTCCAGTCCCCGAAAATTCATTAACATAAAAAGGTAATTTGGTCCATGTCATCTTTGCTGCTTTTTGTCGTATAGTATTACAGCTAAGAGGAAGATGCATTACAAAAGTTAGGGGTTTTAAGCAAGATGGACTAAGACTATGTTTAAACAGTGAAAAAATAGAATGGATCTGACGCTAAATGTCCAAAAATCACTTGATTAGGTTTAGGGAAAAAAACTTGCTGCAAGCAAAACTCATAGAGATACTGAATGAATTGCGTACTTGCATGTCAGGGGATGACTGTGATCCTGTGCAAAAATATATAGCATGTGTTCCTTTTAAAAACCTGCCAAATGTTGATTACCTGACATTGAAACCATAATACTAGAAATGTTTTTCTTAAACAGCCAGAAGCTTAGTAGGCTTGCCTGATACATCGGTGACAAGTAAGTTTTCACCTACCAAGTAGTGAACAAACCATTGAACCTATCCAAACCCTGAGGATTTCAATTTTACAATATTTCTCTGTTGCAGAGAAGATTAGAACCTAGAAAGTTCTGGGAGCCGGTTCCACATTCAGGCCTCAAGTTTATACTGGCCCTCTGATAAAGTGTGGTCAGTATATCTTGAAAATATCTATCACTGGTCATAGATATTGGTTATCCAAGTTACTCCAGGAAGCAACATTGCATCTGGCTTCCTTAGATGAACCCATAAAAAACTGGAAAAAAAAATTAGTCAGCCCAACTGAAGCCACAGGTAGCTGGTGAATTGTACACAAGCCAAAGTACTCTTGTTGCAGTACCTAGTTTCTCTTGCAACTTTGTTAGTCATACAGCTGGGAAAGTTATGATCGATATGTTGTAAAAGTTTGCAATGGAACAAAATATTTTGAAAAGTCATTATTATATTGTAGATAATAGTTAAAGCTGCTGTGTTTAAATGTGTTTTGACCTTATGGGCTGTAAGTGACAACACTTGTGTATATAAATATTTGCATCCATATTTAATCTTGAACATCTGAGTGCAATGTATCATATTTCAAAGACCTTATAATAAATGTCAAACTTACATGTGTTAAGAATTTTGCAAGATATTAAAACAACACTCGGTCCTGGGGCCTGCGCTGTTCAATTTCTTCATCAGCGATCTAAATGATGGGGTGGAAAGTAACCTGTTTAAATTCGCTGATGACACCAAAATTTGGGGGGAGGTGAGCACGCTAGCAGGGAGTGAGAGATTGCAGAAGGATCTGGATAGGTTACAGGGGTGGGCTAACAGGAACAGGATGCGTTTTAATACGGACAAGTGCAGGGTGCTGCACTTGGGCAGTAGGAACCAGCAGCACACTTACACAATGGGGAACTCCCTACTCGAGAGCACGGAGGCAGAAAGAGATCTTGGAGTCATTATTGACTCCAAGATGAACATGGGCCGACAATGCGAGGTCATGGTTGGCAGGGCTAACCGGACCTTGTCGTGCATCCACAGGTGCATCTCGAGTAGAGCCAAGGAGGTGATCCTCCCCCTCTACGCGACGCTGGTCAGGCCACAGCTGGAGTATTGTGTCCAGTTCTGTGCGCCCCATTTCAAGAGGGATGTGGACAACATGGAGAGGGTCCAGAGGAGGGCCACCCGCATGATCCGGGGACAACAGGGCAGACCCTACAGTGAGAGACTGCGGGACCTGAACCTATTCAGCCTCCACAAGAGAAGGCTGAGGGGGGACCTGGTGACCGTCTATAAACTCACTAGGGGGGACCAGAAGGGTTTGGGGGAGACGCTGTTTCCCCTAGCGCCCGCTGGCATAACAAGGAGTAATGGGCACAAGTTGATGGAGAGGAGGTATAGATTGGACATCCGCAAAAACTACTTCACAGTTAGGGCGGCTAGGAGCTGGAACCAACTTCCAAGGGAAGTGGTGCTGGCCCCTACCCTGGGGGTCTTTAAGAAGAGGCTGGATGCCTACCTGGCTGGACTCATTTGAGTCCCGTTTTTGTTTTGGGGTTTTGTTGTTCTCCCGCCCTGGTGGGGGGTCGGACTAGAAGATCTATTAGGTCCCTTCCGACCCTAAATCTATGAAACTATGAAACACTTGATGAATTCACCAACAAACTGAAATTCAAAAAAATGTATGTTGTTAATTATTGGGCCATACCTTTTAGAACAAGCCCATCCAGTATACAGCTTATTAAAAATGACAGTGAAAAAAGGAATGGAGGGAAAGAGTTGCTTGCTTTTTGAATGTCTGGCCAACTATGGAGTATATGTGTGTAAGTTAAACAGAGAACGTCAGTTAAGCAGGCATTAAACCATGTAAGCATTTAAAACATTTACAGATATTCATTAGCCTTGAATTATCATATTTGGCATTTCTTCAGAATATAATTTCTGTGGTCTAAACATTTTTCTTGTTTTCTGTAATAGAGGTATGTAGTCTCTGCACCATTGTTTTACGAGGGTATTAGTTAGCTTTTTCCACAGAAGTAGCTAAATGGACAATGTTGGATGTTCAAGGTCTGTCTTGGGGTTTAATTTAGCAACAGAAAGTACTGTAAGAGAGTAGATGAATTTTAAGGCAATCT